TGCTCTGTAGCTGATGTTGACACTGTGACTGATTAACAAAGTCCAAATGTAGAGGCCAGCTGTCCTTCTTCTACATGTTACAGCAGTTTGAACAGCGTTGTTCTTGGCTTGACTAAAACATTTGTCTTTAATATAATATAGCTTAACAATAACTATCATTGCAACATGAAATAATCTCAGTGCAGATACTTCAGGGAACAACTGTTTGATCTGAAGTAATGCAGTGCCCTTTGTTGACCAGTTATTAATATCATCATTAATATTATATTTTGAGACTGAGACTATCCAAAAGTCCTCTGAAGTTTTACTGCAGTATCCAAAGCTTTCTTTTTGCAGATCCATCGGTTCTTCTCATCACAGCTCACTGATTTAAATCCTTCGTCTAGGACAGAGATTGCACAGTGACCATCAGAAGGAGGCTGGTTGATCCAGGCGCTGAGGAAAACAAGAATTCTGTTCAAGGCTGATGGACACTGGTACACTGTAATTGATTTATCACAGATTTGGGAAATACTTGACATTTGTATTGATTTAAAGTGTCTCTTACCTATTAGCCGCATCTCTTCCATCCAGCCATTTCCATTTCCCATCTTCAACTCTCAGACCAATCCAGTATCCTTTGTTTTCATCATATTTCCAACTATTTTCACTGACAGTTTTCTGAGGACAAAGAGAAAGTTGTCAGAGTTATTTAAACAATTTGCTCTAAGAAAGCTTTCAATCTAAAGAAATTATTTTTATTTCATGAAGTCTGTAATAAAGTGTCCCACAATTTCCTCAGTACCTTTTCTTCTTCATTAATAACAACAGCTAAATCTGAACTCTTTCCTCTGCAGTTTTCTTGAGCTTCTTCCCAGGTTTTCCGTTGATCACGGTCAGGATCATTAACTGCATAGCAGCTGGAGTCAGCATATAACCAGCCATCCTCACAATTATTACATTTTCTGCCTGCAAGAATAGAGAACGGTTAATAAACAACATCAGTGCATATCTATGTTAAATTAGGTAATTTTGTACAAACATATTTGGAACATACACATACACTGTGGGAAAACACGTTTTTTTTCTTTGGGACAGTAGGCATCAATGCTCCACTGAGCTCGACTAACATTGAGCTCTTTCCATTGTGTCGTCATCTGTTGTATTTGTTCTGTTAGGTTTTTCTTTTCTGTCTCCAGCTCCTCATTCTTCTTTTTGAGCTGCTGGTTTTCTGCAAGGTGTTTTTCCGAGTCTCGTGTCAGGTTCTCCAGCTCCTCATTTTTCTTTTTGAGCATCTGTGTCTCTTCA